ATCCATCTATCTATCTATCTATCTATCTATCTATCTATCTATCTATCTATCTATCTATCTATCTATCTATTTATCTATCTATCCTCTTTGATGACTTTGCATGACAGATGAATTTTATTGGGTTATTACAGAACAGAGCCAGATCACTCCAACATGATCTGAGCCAGACCTCCACCACAACCGCAGTGTCGCTCCGCGCTGGCTGCTGAGCTCAGATGGGAAAGCCCATCGGGGTCCAGCGGCAGCAGCACGGGCGGGCGTTTCTTTTCTTCCCTTTCCATTTTGTCACATGAGGCTTTTAATTTTATAAAAGCAGGGTGAGAGTTGCAGACAAAATTTTTATTTAATGTTGGACTTAAGTGCAAGAACAAAGAGAAAGTACAAAGTGTAAGTTTGAATAAGTCATCCTTTATTAGGTATTCTTATCAAGAGGTTGTTTGCTTTATTGAATGGCTTTATCAAAAAAAAAAAGAATAATCTACAATTCGTCTGTAAATCAGTTACCAGCCAAAGAAAGAAAATAAGGAACATTTAGGGGGGGTTGTGAAAAGGTGTAGCAGGTTTGTTTGTCTATGGTTTATTTGATTCACTGAGCAAGTCACAAAGTAAAGTTCAAATCGTGCAACAAAAGAATCAGTCACAGCGTTTGCACACACACAGAAAAAAACAGTGAAGCCGGAGATGCAACTCCTCAGACAGCGATCAGAGGAGGACTGAAGAGAAGTGAGCGTGTCCTGACTCAGATTCAGACTTTAATCTAATAGTTCTCGAATCAAATCATAACTCCACCGAGCGTAATTACGCACCGGCAGTGGCATGGTCGGTGACACTGAATGCCAACCTCGCAAATTCAGAGGAAATTAGATAAAAGCCAGCTAGTGTCTTTTCTTTTTAACCTTATGTGAGGTTAAGTGAAGCCGGGTCAGAAGAGGAGAGGTGCAGCGAGCAGGAGACGTCATTTTCTTTGCTCACAAGCTGGAGAGGCGGGAAGACGAACACCGCTGAAGCACGATGGCGGCCAGAAGTGAGCGAGTCACAGAAAAGTTGGCTTGGCTGTTTTCCGGGATTACCAAACCCAGCTTCAATGATTGATTCATCAAGCGTTGGTTTCTCTATTTGTCACAGTGTTAATGTGGTGCTGTTTAAAGTGATTAAGGGTGACATGTGTGCACATGTTTAATATTTGAGGTCATTAGTTGCTGAGCTCATTTGGGAGCAGCAATAAAAACACAAAGGCACATCTGCTAATTTAGCTCAGGATCCAAGAGGAGAAAACATCCGATCGAAGAGTTTTATTCACTTTGAAAAAGACGAGTTTCGGAACCAGAACGGCTGCGGAGAGAGAACGTGGAGAAAAAGGTCAGTCGGTTCAAAGCCCTGAGGCTCGTCCTTCTGAAATGATACACCTCAGTACTGAATACTACACAGAGCTGATAAGACCTGGAGAGAAGGAAGAATAACATTGACATCATGTGGCAGGTGCTTGCATCCGGAGAACAGTACGGATGGATGAGACAAAAATGTCCAGAGAAGACAGACATTAACCGGGTCGTCGCGGAGTTTAGCTGAGATCAGTGAGAGTTGTGCCACCGACGAGACGTTGAGATCCACAGCAAGTAAGCTTTTATTTTCATCATACGTGAGACGTGACAAATCTATATGTGCTGCAAAACAATGCTGAGACCGCCTACATAGATAAAAACCATAAAAAGCCCCGTCCTCTCTCCCAGCACCGACTCAGCTGTGCTGGAAGTGCTCAGCGTCCAATGGAGGAAGACTCTGTGGTTGTGCTCAGACTTTTCTCAGCTTTCTCTTCCCATTGTTCATGGATTAAAAAAGACCTCACAAAACCTAATTAACAATATAAATCCTAATTGATGACATGTTAATTCACGATGACACATTAGGGGCGGTGCAGACATTTGACATTGTTTTGTGTGTTGCTGTCCTAAAATGGCTTTTTCCAGAAACTGCAAATGCAAAGAAATCAAAAAACTGCTTTAAGCTTTGTGACATTGGAGTTTCAAACTGCACGCCCATTTACACTAGAACAGATCTACCCTGACAAGATCCATGCCTTATCTTGAATAATTTGTGAACGCAATTTAAAAAAAAAAAAACCTTGTGTCCGTCTCCTGATCCACACTGAAACTCTACGCCTTCTTCTTTGAGTCATGTTGTCATCCTTTCACCAAGTTTCATGGAAATCCAATCTCCATGAACAGAATCCGCAGGAGAGGGAGAAGATTGTGAAGCGTCCCGGTTTCTGTGTGTAGTCTGACCAATCACGTTTGAGAAGGCTTTCCTTCCGTGTGGAGGCGGAGCACATTGACTGAAATGCATCAGGTAATTTTCTTTTTAATTTATCTGCATTCATATGCAGACAGCTGTTGATTATCCAACAAGTATCACTGTTTGTGTTTGTGCGGAGAAACTTGACGGCTTGGTTGACAAAAGAAACTGGACGGACAGTGAACGGAGGATGAACTCCCATAATATTGCTCCTCGATAACTCATGAGCTCCGAGATTGAGGTGAGGTAAGATGAACCTTTATGAATCTCCTCAGGGGTGATTTGATTTTTTCGACAGAGCAGCACACAGGAAGGCACAGAGGAGCTCCTCGAGCACATGGCTGGATGAGTCTGTGTTACCGCAGCTAACCACAGAGAGGATGAGAGGGGTTATTGTCCATAAAAGATTTCCTCTCCCCCTCCTCTGTCGCTGCCGGCGCACCGTCCAGCTCCATCACCAGAGGAGCTCAGTGATGTCCTATCACTTCACTTTGTTGTTGAGCTTCACCCCTGTAGGAACCTCTGGTTATTCACCATGTCCACCTCCACAGAGGTTTTCATCTTGGTTTCCCCAAAGTTGAGCTGCAGGTGGTTGGTGTCACAACATCTTTCGCAGATCTTGACCACACCCCTCCTCTTGCTTGGCGTCCGTAATCCTGCAGAGGATGAAGGAGTCATCCTCTCTCTGTGGCCTGTTCCTGAGGGGAAACAGAAGTCAGGTGTGTGCAGGGCGAACAAAGATGAAAACAGTTCCACACCCCGAGGTCCTGCTCCACGTCACAGAGAGCTTCTCAGCCAAGCCTTGGAGAAGATGACGAACACATTGACACCGATATTCCTCGAACTGCCTGGACCCGCTGCAGGTTACGTACCATCTTAGACACTGCCGTGGATCACGGTGCACAGATCCTGGCTGTGGCTGCAGGTTCTGGGGGAGCAGCCAATCACAATGATGTCGTGCCTCCGAACAATTATGTTGAGTCAGTAATCTGCAGGTAACTTACAGCTTTATGAATTGTCTGAGTTTTGGTCTACACAGAATACTTTAATAAAATATAACGCAGCGTCGCAGCAAATTGTTTGAGGCTGTAAACTTGATGAAACATGTGGGAGCAGTCAAACATCTGGACGTCCCCAGTAACTGTTGTTTTCTAAAGGAACAGACAACACTGACGGCTGTCCACGACAATTCAGCTCCTCCCTCTAACTATTCCAACCACAGAATGTTTCCCACTTCTGTGTTTTCTCCGTGTTAACCACCGAACCAATCCACATGTGACAATCCGCTAAATCCTTTAGTTATTTACTCAGACATTTTTTTAAAAAAACCTTA